CCGGACCCCCCCCCCAAAAAAAACTCACTAAACAAATTAAATTTAAAATTAAACATTGTGAAGTGTTCAATTATTTGCTGTAAGTAAAACTATTAAAATTATAGTTATCATACCTCTCATTAATACCTACCACCATTAACAGAGTAGGATCTATTAATTGGAAAATGTGGAACATCTCCTTCATTAATTAGTCTTAGATCTTGTTCTCTCTGCAGCTCCCTGATGATCCCATCAAGGATGCTTTCATCTTGGTCATTGGTTTGCTGCCCAATTACCTGTTCTACCACCTCTCCATCACCTTAATGAGACCAAAGATATAAAGTCACAAAATTGATTACAACTTAGTATACCCTTACAATGATAAAAATCAAGTTTAAACTACAGTGAGAGAAATAAAAATTTACTTTAAAACAAAGTATATATCAAACAAAATACTTTATATGGAAGAATTTTTAGTTTTTGACTTTTACCTTACATTATTTGACTTAACAGATGCAATTAAGTTGCATATTATTAAGAGTACCTTTTAATTTTAAAGATTGCTAAAATTAAATTTTACAAAATAACTATTTTTTTTTACCTTTTTTCTTTCTTTTTGTTGTTGCAAATGTTTGGTTTTCAGCTTCATAGCCCATTTTGGTCTACCAAATGGTGTGAATATAGGCATGAGGCAGTACACGCTTATGAATAAAAGTTAAATAACTCATTTCAAAATAAATTTTCTCCATATTTCATTCAAAGATAAATGGGAATTAGAGATCGGAATAATGCTTAAAAAGTTCAATCAGATGCATAAATGTTTTGCATTTTCTTTAGTAAAAATTTAGACCCAAAGAAGTTAAAATTACAGTCTTTTAAGTAAATATTTTGATACATCTCAGTGTTTTATTAAGCAGAAAAGATATTTTTATGCTTTAGTAAAATTCAATGTAAATATCTGGATGAAAACTTAAAATATTCTCTTTCTAAAATGTATTATATCCATGTTTCTCTTGTCCTGTAGTTATATCTATAGCATCAAATGCTTGATATATACAAGTCAGCACTATATGTAACAACAAGGTTATATATCTTTTAAGGTTTTTTCCTAAGCGAAAGACCTCAGGTCAATATACTTTCTAATATATTTGTTTCTTCTAAAAACCTACCCTGATAAGATTAAAACTAAAATAGGAGCTATAGGTAAAACATGTTACAAACTGAAGTTTAGAAAAGTATCATAGAATAGCAGCAAGTCTTAACAGTTCATGAAAAGTTCTAGAATTCATTTTTGAGGTAACATACCATTAGCCACATAACCCAGTTGTGGTATAAGTTGTTCATCTTTGCAATTTTCCCGTCCTGGTACTAGCCGTTGAAATTTTGTAGGATGAGGATTTCCATCAACATCCACCAAGAAAGGAGGAGGCATGAGGTGAGGGGCTTGTTGTGTTTGTTCATCTAATACGTAGTTATTGGCATCACGGATAAGAGGTCGATAATCCGTGTGGAAGAACATCTGATCTGGAATCTATGGTTAAATTTTTAGTATTTAAATTTTTAGTATTTAACATATACCAAATATCAATTGGACACTTATTTTCAATTCTAAGAGCACAGACCTCATCAGTCAGACAACTTGCACTCTCAATTTTATGTTGCAAAATGTTCCCTCCAGGTACAAATAAATTACCTACCAAGTAATTCTTTTACCTACAAAATTCTACAACATGCATTACTTTTTGGTCCCACATCGTATTTCTGTAATTAGAACAGTAAGTAAGCATCAAAGAAACAATCTAGTGGGTAAAAGTATGCTTTTATTTTTCTCCCCTGGGTCCTGGGGCTTGAAGTCTGGGCCTGGACACTGTCCCAGAGCTTTTTTTGCCCAAGGCGAGCACTCTACCACTTACCCACAGCACTTCTTCTGGCAATTTTGAGTAGTTTATTGGAGATAAGAAACTCGTGGAAGGGCTGGGAAGGTGGCTCCGCAGTAGAGTGCCTGTCTCGCATGTAGGAAGCTCTGGGTTCAATTCCTCAGCACTACGTAAAAAGGCTGAAAGTGGTACTGAGGCTCCAGTGGTAGAGTGCTTGCCTTGAGCTGAAGAGCTCAGGGACAGTGCCCAGGCCTAGAGTTCAAGCCCTATGACTGATCAAGAGAGAGAGATGGGTAGAGGGAGAGGGGGAAAGGGGTTGAGGGGTAAGGGGGAGAGGGGGAGAGGGAGAGAGAGAGACTGACTGGCTGGTTCATGGAGTGTCCTATCTAGGCTAGCTTCGAACTGCAATCTTCAGATCTCAGCTTCCTGAGTAGCAAGGATTACAGGCGTGAGCCACCAGCATGTGCCTAAAAGTAGGTTAAGTTGTAAAATTAACAGAAATTGCCAGGCACCTGTGGCTCATATGCCTGTAGTCCTGGCTACTCTCAGGAGGCTGAGATCTGAGGATTGCTGTTCAAAGCCAGCCAGGACAGGAACAAAAAACCACTCAGAAAACCAGAAGTGGTACTGTGGCTGAAATGGTAGAGCACTAGCCTTGAGCTGAAGAGCTGAGGGACAGTGCACAGGCCCAGAGTTCAAGCTCCACAACTGACAAACAAAAATAATAAAAATCTATAGTTTTTCTTATTTTTATTCACATGAGGAAAATTGAAATATACGTGGTGATATATGTCAGAATCGATCACATCAATGACGCTAAAAGCTGGTCCAAGTATTGAGCTGATGTTAATGCTTCTCAGTTATCTTTACACTCTTAAGATTCCATAATTTAGGGCTGGGAAGGTGGCTCAGTGGTAGAGCGCTTGCCTTGCATGCCTGAGGCCCTGGGTTCGATTCCTCAGCACCACATAAGCAAAAAGAAAAAAGCCGGAAGTGGCGCTGTGGCTTAAGTGGTAGAGTGCTAGCCTTGAGCTGAAGACCTGAGGAACAGCGCCCAGGCCCAGAGTTCAGGCCCCACGACCGGACCCCCCCCCCCAAAAAAAAAAAAAGATTCCATGATTTATCCCAAATTCACAGTGAATAGGGAATAAAGACTATGTTAGCATCCTAAGTAATAGCCAACCAAGAAAATGAACATTATTTTGATAACCAGCTGTTAATTCCCAATTTATAAGTAGAAGATACAACCTAGTAGTAGAGAGTATGTTCTAAGCAAAACAATTTCTTAATGACCTTGTATATATCATCCTGTATCTCAACAGTGACTCTTTCTGCCATGTCTGATGATGACACACAAAACTGGAAAACTTCAAATGCAATTTGTCAATAATAATAACCCAAATTATAGACTATAAGAAAAATAAAATACACTGACCTTTTCATAGTATTTACTACACCCAAAACCAAAAAGGAGCAAATGCCCATGAGAATCTGTGCAGGCAAAATGGTTTCCATCTGGTGAAAATTTACAATCAAACACCGCACCATGACCTTGGCCTTCAATCTGAAATTCAGAGGAGTCTTTTATGTTATCTTAAAAGTAGTGTGCATAAGTAGGTGCTAACTTCTTCCAATACTTTGGATTTTGTCAGGCATCAAGTTTCATGAACTCTCTGACTTCAGTTTCCAGAACTATAAACAGTCAAGCTCTCAAAAAAATTAGGGAGAATCAAATGGCAATGGATGGAATAAATCACAGCTAACAATGTCATGTCTCCTGATATACTAAATCAGTGACAGAGATTTAAAAAGACCTACATGCAACCAAACTGACAAAAGTGCTACTTAACAAAACCAAAGTATTATATTTATATCTTCAGCTATAATGTCTTCAAATAACCATTCTAAAATTACAACAAAAAAGTCAGTTTTACAAATGTTCTGGGTCGGAAGTGGCCCTATAGCTCAAGAGGTAGAGCGCTCGCCTTGAGCTGAAGAGCGCCCAGGCCCAGAGTTCAAGCCCCACTACCGGCAAAAAAAAAAAATGCTCTGGGTCAACATCTACAGAAGTGAGCTTAAAAGCCAACTAATTATTCAGAAATGTTTAGTAGAAAATATAAAAAATATCAGTATTTCCCTCGCCATAAAAGGCTATTTCACTGAGAGGATAGGTAGTTCAACGTTTCCTATGATGTCTATGAAATAGGCTTTTAAAACATCCTCATCTTCAAAGCAATGTTTCCCAAATAACTTTCTGAATACTAAGCAATTTAACAGGAGCAAATAAAAGTATTACAATACTTCATAAATTAATACTAGAGTTTCAGCATTAAATTTTTTGGTTACATGCTAAATCTAAGGTAAATACTTTTACTCTGAAAGGCCAAATTCTACACTGGCCATATAATTAAAACTGAATCATTTCTGAATTGTTTTCTCAATTTAAACAAAGATCAAGAAGTAGCATCAAGTATACTTTAAATATCTATCATATTAACTAAATCACTTTTAATGTGTACTAAACACAGATTTCTCTTACCATATTAAAATAATTCCGAATTTTGGTCCCCCGGTCAAGATCCCAAATGAAAATGTTCCCATCATGACCCGCAGAAAGTATGATCCTTTGATCAAATGGGTGTGCTTCTAAAACAAATACTTCATCATCATGTCCCTATAATACAAATTAAATATTAAAAAAGAAAAGTAGAACATAGAATATATGGGTTGTTTGTTCAAAAGACCTTGGGACTGCTATGAATCTGGTTCTGTTGAATTTATGCAAACCAATTCAATAGCATTTTCATCCATCATTCTATATCACTGCTATTAAAATTGCATTTGTAAGGGGTCATGAGACTGACAAATGACAAAGCAAAGTGTCTGTACTCTCTAACTACATGGGGGTTCAAGATGTTATCTTAGGGGCTGGGAAGGTGGCTCAGTGGTAGAACGCCGCTTGCCTTGCATGCATGAGGCCCTGGGTTCGATTCCTCAGCACCACATAAGCAGAAAAAAAAAACTGGAAGTGGCGCTGTGGCTCAAGTGGTAGTGTTAGCCTTGAGCTGAAGAGCTGAGGGACACTGCCCAGGCCCAGAGTTCAGGCCCCATGACCTCAGTTAGATGTTATCAAACTGAGAAACTAGACATTACTTTAAAAAAAAAAAAAGACAGGGCTGGGAAGGTGGCTCAGTGGTAGAGTGCTTGCCTTGCATGCCTGAGGCCCTGGGTTCGATTCCTCAGCACCACATAAGCAAAAAGAAAAAAAAGCCGGAAGTGGCGCTGTGGCTCAAGTGGTAGAGTACTAGCTTTGAGCTGAAGAGCTGAGGGACAGCGCCCAGATCCAGAGTTCAGGCCCCACAACCGGACCACAAAAAAAAAAAAAAGACAACGCTTTATGTTCTATGCTTCTATTTCTGCAAATGACTCTTTTTTTGTCGTTGTTGTTGGTTGTGGGGCTTGAACTCTGGACCAGGGCACTGACCCTCTCAGCTCTTCAGCTCAAGGCAAGTGCTCTACAACTTGTGTCACAGTGCCACTTTCAGTTTTCTGGTAGTTTCTTGGAGATAAGAGTCTCATGAACTTTCCTGCCCCAGCTGGCTTTGAACCATGATCCTCAGATCTGACCCTCCTGAGTAGCTAGGATTACAGGTGTGAGCCACTAGCACCTGGCTTTTAATGACTCTTTTTTTTTGCCAGTCATGGGGCCTGAACTCTGGGCCTGGGCACAGTCCCTCAACTCTTCAGCTCAAGGCTAGCACTCTACAACTTGAGCCACAGTGCCACTTCCGGCTTTTTCTGCATATGTGATGCTGAGGAATTGAACCCAGGGCCTCATGTATGCAAGGCAAGAACTCTACCACTGAGCCACCTTCCCAGCCCTTAATGACTCTTAAAAATTAAAAAAAAAAAGGGCTGGGAAGGTGGCTCAGTGGTAGAGTGCTTGCCTTGCATGCCTGAGGCCCTGGGTTCGATTCCTCAGCACCACATAAGCAAAAAGAAAAAAGCCGGAAGTGGCGCTGTGGCTCAAGTGGTAGAGTGCTAGCCTTGAGCTGAAGAGCTGAGGGACAGCACTCAGGCCCAGAGTTCAGGCCCCACGACTGGACCCAAAAAAAAAAAATTAAAAGAGTCGGGAGCCAGTGGCTCACACCTATAATCCTAGCTACTCAGGAGGCTGAAATCTGAGGATCACGGATCAAAGCCAGCCCTGGCAGGAAAGTCCATGAGACTCTTATCTCCAATAAACCACTCGAAAACTGGAAATGGTGTTGTGGCTCAAACGGTAGAGCACTCGCCTTGAGCTGAAGAACGCAGGGACAGAGCCCAAGCCCAGAGTTCAAGCCCCATGACCGACCAAAAAAAAAAAAAAAAGAACTTGGAGTTGAAGGTATAACTCAGGTGGTAAAATGCCATCCAATGAGAAACCAAGTTTGAGTACCAGTCTTGAACCAAAAAAGGTACTTACAGATAAAGTATGAAGAAGCTGTCCTGTGACAGAATTCCACACCTTCAAAAGGAAATTGTTCACTGCTGTAATAACTGTGGTGTCATAACGATCCCAGGCCACCATAGTCACCTTCAGTTTAGAGACTTTGTCTTCTACAGATGGCAAATTATTCCTAAAAAAAGGTATTCATATATTGTAAATTTTTAACAAAGGTGTGTCCAAAATATCAAATTATGCCAAAAGTTCTCTAGCAGCTTGCAATTGATTTACATTAAAAAACAAACTATACTTCTAAATACTAATGTCTTTTTTGAAAGTACTTGAATACAGAAATATGCAAAATCGTATTTTAGGGACTAAACAAAAGACCTCAATATAACAAATGTGATAAGTACAGTTACTTGAGATCACAAAAAATAGTGAAACTGCAAAGGAAGCTAGAATATTTTGAAAATAAAAGTTTATATTGGGGCTGGCAAGGTGGCTCAGTAGTAGAGTGCTTGCCTTGCATGCATGAGGCCCTGGGTTCAATTACTCAGCACCACATAAGCAAAAAAGAAAAAAGCTGGAAGTAGAGCTGTGGCTCAAGTGGCAGAGCGCTAGCCTTGAGCTGAAGAGCTGAGGGAGAGCGCCTAGGCCCAGAGTCCAGGCCCTATGACCGGCAGGGGGGAAAAATAAGTTTGTAGTAACTACTGGACAGTATAAAGTACTAGCACCCATTTTTATTACTATACATATTACCTTAAAAACATTATAGACTTTATGAAAATGTAGTGGGAAATATAGTAACTTCAAATTTAATTAAAATATATTAACAGCGGGGTGCAGCAGTTGATCTGAGGATCAGGGCTGAAAGTCAGCTCAGGCAGGAAAATCTCTAAGACATCTCAAATTAAGCACCAGAAAACTGCAAGTAATGCTATGGCTCTACACTTGAGTGGTATAAAGCTCAAGGACAGAATCCAGGCCATAAGTTCAGACTCACAACTGACAAAAAATTCATTATCAGTAGCTAATGTATATTAGTACTAATATTATTAATTTGATGGCCAAACCCTAATTAAATTACACTACTACAAAGACATAATAGCACATATTCCAACATTGAGCATACATATAAAATGGTGAATGCTAAATGCTAAAAATATGAAATACACAGATATCATTAGATTACAAAAGGTTAAGCATATTATGACATGCAAAAGACAGCAAAAAATGACCTATAGGAAAAAAAAGCAGAGAATGAATCTGGTAGTATCAAGTCAGCATAGAGGTATTCAAATTTTGTATGTTTGCCATTTTCCCATCTATCAATCAATGGCAAAAACTGAATTTGCTTAGATGCAAATATATGTTTTATGCTTATTAAATATAATTCAATGTGAAAAACAACACACCATATTAGAAACACTGAAATACCTAGCATTCATTCTTACCCATTCATTTTAGTAGCCATATCTAGCACTATACTCTTCCATTCTTGTTGCTGATACTGCCATATTCTTGCTGTTCCATCTCTGCTTCCACTAACAAATCTTAAACTGAAAAGACACAGTTAAAGTAGCCTTGTTATTACTTTTCTTCAAATGAGAATCACTTATTTTCTATTTATAAAAAAGTAAAATGATCACCCTCAGACATCACTGGGGGGAATTTTAAATGGTGGAGTCACTTTGGAAAACATTATGGTTTAAAAAAATGTTAAACATCTGGGCCTGGGAAGTTGGCTCAGTGGTAGAGCACTTGCCTTGCATGCATGAGGCCCTGGGTTCGATTCCTCAGCACCACATAAGCAGGGAAAGAAAAAGATGGAAGTGGCACTGTGGCTCAAGTGGTAGAGTGCTAGCCTTGAGCTGATAGCACCCAGGCCCAGAGTTCAGGCCCCATGACAGGACCAAAAAATAAAAATTTTAAAAAATGTTAAACATGGGGCTGGGAAGGTGGCTCAGTGGTAGAGTGCTTGCCTCATATGCATAAAGCCCCGGGTTCTATTCCTCAGCACCACATAAGCAGAAAAGGCCATAAGTGGTGCTGTGGCTCAAGTGGTAGAGCGCTAGCCTTGAGCTGAAGAGCTGAGGGACAGCGCCCAGGCCCAGAGTTCAAACCCACGACAGACCAAAAAAAAAAAAAAGCTAAACATATAGTTACCCTATGTTCCAGAAATCATGCTTCAGTTATAATCCCCCTAAAATGAAAAATATAAGCTGGGCGCTGGTAATCCTAGCTACTCAAGAGGCTGAGATCTGATGCTCACAGTTTAAAGCCAGTTGAGACAAGAAAGTTCATGAGACTCATATTCAATTAACTATTAAAATGCCAGAAGTGGAGCTGTTGCTCAAATGGTAGAACACTAGCCTTGTGCAAAAAAAAGCTGAGATAGTGTGCAGGACCCAAGTTCAAGCCCCAAGACCAGCAAAAAAAAAAAAAAAGTGAAAACATGAATATTCATGGAAATGTTATTTATAATAAGCAAAAAGTAAAAACAATTCAGATGTCCATCAATGGACAAATGTCAACAAAATATGGCACTGGTAGCTCATGCCTGCAATACTAGCTACTCAGGAGGCTGAGATCTGAATATCATAGTTTAATGCCAGCCTAGGCAAGAAAGTCCGTGAGACTCTTATCTTCATTAACCACCAGAAAATTAGAAGTGGCGCTGTGGCTCAAGTGGTAGAATGTTAGCCTTGAACAAAATAGTTCAGGGACAGAACCTAGGCCCAGTGTTCAAGCCCCAAGAGACAGACAGACAGACACATACACACACAATTTGTCCATGCACAATTTTGTCATTGTTATACTTTAGTTTGTGTTCATTCAAACATTACTAAATATATGTATATATTCTTATATGTTTTCCCCTAGTGGAGACATGTTTTTCATTGGTTATCTTCTTTTTTTAGATCTATTCCTACTTATAAATTCAAAACTAGCATCAATTTTAGTAAGTATTCAATTATATGAATGTGCAAAAACGTATCTAATGAATCTAAAGTCCAATAAGTGTATTATTTCCAATCTTCCACATTACAAATAATGTTCAATGAATATCTCTGTTCACATCTTTGTACAACCTTATATACTTTTGAAGAATCAGGGTAGGCACATTTTCAGAAGCTTTTGAATGTACTGCCAAACTGTTTCCCAAAAGATTTAAAAGACAATTTACCAAGTTTTCATTTCTCAAAACCACTGGAAATACTGATTATTAGTTTTTTACATTTCTACTCTGAAAGAGAAATGTTAGTTATTTGCATTTGATTATTAGCAAATTGGATATCTTTCAAAGGTCAAATAACAAAAAGTATAAAGATTCTCAAAAAAAAGAAAAAAATTGAAATGACCTATAATTTTCTCTTACAGAGAAATCAAAGTAGTTTGTTCTTTTATATGTATGTATAATTTTATGTTTCATATGCCTTTTAAATATACCTTTTAAGAATACTTGGGACAAACCTTTTTAAAGACGACTTCCAAATAGATATAACTGGTTGGAATTAAAGTCAGTGGAAGTGAAATTTATGTTGAGGTTTGAAATATTTATTTCTGTGGTTAGTTTATTGAAGGAAGTAGAGCTGTGGCTCCAGGGGTAGTATGCTAACCACTGGGCAAAAAAAAAAATCTCAGGAACAGCAACTAGGGCCTGAGTTCAAGCCCCAGCAGTAGCACAAAAATAATTTATTTGAGGTCTGGAAATGTGTCTTAGTAGTAGAATGCTTGCCTTGGGGCTGGGAAGGCGGCTCAGTGGTAGAGCGCTTGCCTTGTATGCATGAGGCCCTGGGTTTGATTCCTCAGCACCACATAGCAGAAAAAAAAGCCAGAAGTGGTGCTATGGCTCAAGTGGTAGCGTGATAGCCTTGAGCTGAAGAGCTGAGGGACAGCGCCCAAGCCCAGAGTTCAGGCCCCAAGACCGGACCCAAAAAAAAAAAAGAGAGAGAGAGAGAATGCTTGCCTAACATGCGTGAAGCCCTGGATTTGATTCCTCAGTACCACATAAATAGAGAAAGCCAGGTGTGGTGCTATGGATCAAGTGGTAGAGTGCTGGCCTTGAGCACAAAGAGGCCCAAGGACAGACCCCAGGGCCTAAGTTCAAGCTCCACGACTGACAATATAATAATAACAATAATAATTTATTTGAAAGTTTTGCCATTCCTGACATAGACATCACTTTGTGGACTATTATCATTTATACTTTTACTTAATAAAGGCAAATCCACTGTAGTCACTCACTGTCTGAAAATCAATATTAAAAATAGGGCTGGGAATGTGGCTCAGTGGTAGAGTGCTTGACTAGCATGCATGAAGCCCTGGGTTCGATTCCTCAGTATCACAGAAAAAGGGGGAAGCGGCGCTGTGGCTCAAGTGGTTGAGTGCTAACCTTGAGCTGAAGAACTGAGGGACAGTGCCCAGGCCCAGAGTTCAAGCCCCCACGACTGATAAAAATAATAGTAATAATAATACGTCAACCACATGAAGTTTTGCAGACATAGATACACATGATAAGTGGTTATTTTTTAATTTAGTTGAGATCAAATTTTATACACAGCAGATTATCACCTTTCAATGATCTAAAATTTTGGAAAGTTTTGTATATAATTTTTGGCTTTATAAATACAATGTGTATGATATAATTGATAGTGACAAGTGATAACAGACATCCAGAGGAAGTCAAGATAAATATAAAATCTAGAGCACTCACGAAAGTCTTCAAGTAAGGCATAAACTTTAAGGGAAGGTAAGACTTATGGAGAATAGAGAAAAAGAGAAAAAGGAGAGAAAGCATAAAAGGGAACAGAAAAAGTAGGGGAAGGAATGGAAATGGTATTTCTGGATAGGAATGATGTATAAGTATAAGCAAAAGAATGGCTGAAATAAAATAAATACAGTATGACAGAAACAACATATAAATCAAACTTGATTTATGGGTTCATATCAGAAATAGATGAGAAAAAAATGTAGGGCTAAGTCCATTTACAGAGAGTTCTGTAAAGAAGATTGACATTTGAATTTTATTCCATAGAGAGAGGAGGAAACATTAAGGTTTTGAACAACAGCCGGCCCCGATGGCTCACACCTGTAATCCTAGCTACACAGGAGGCTGAGATCTGAGGATCACAGTTCAAAGCCAGCCTGGACAGGAAAGTCTGCGAGACTCTATCTCCAATAAACCACCAGAAAACCGGAAGTGGTGCTGTAGCTCAAGTAGTAGAGCACTAGCCTTGAGCTGAAGATCTGAGGGACAGCGCCCAGGCCCAGAATTCAAGCCCCATGACCAAAAAAAAAAGGGTTTTGAACAGAACAATATTTATCTGGCACAGATGGACTGGTCAAATGAAATTCTTGACGAAGGTGATGGGTAAAAGAAATAAAAAGAGCAAAAAAAGGAAACACTCATTAAAAAGAAGAATTCACAGACTAAGGTTATTGCTTGATCAGGAATTTGGAAAAGATGGTAAAGATGTTGAAGACAGATGTGGGCTCTGAAGATAAGTGGCTGCTGTTTACAAGTAGCTGCTTCAAAGAAAATAGTAGAAAAACACGTCCAACATGTTTACATAAGTATGTTAACACATAATTACCTGTCTCCATTGTTACAGAACTGAACAGCAACAACTTTGTCCTAAGACAAAACAATAGACTTGGTTAAAATAAACTTAATTGCAAAAGCACCAGGGAGTGGGTTTTTAATGTTATACTTTTATTTAAATAAACCTAATTTTCGAAACTATAAAGTGAAAACAAAAACAATACTGCCTAAAAGAATGTATTTTGAAATAAACCAGGTAGTAATAAATGTGTTAATAAAGCACATAGTTCTGAATAGGCATAAGTGGACTATGTCCTCCATAAAAATAGCACAGTAATCTAAGAAGCCACAATAAAAAAACCCCACTAATAATAAGTGAATGAAATTTCAAATCGTACTTTATAATTTCAGAAAACAAATTGTTTTCCTTTTATGCCACATGGTTTATTTAATTATGTTAAAATGGTCTCCTCTAACAATACTATAGTTTATATACTGCTATCTGAATATGTATACTCTCTGATCACAAGATTAAAATTTAAGCTTAATTCCCTTTACTTATAAATTAAATGTCGTACCCAGTCTCAAACCATTCAGTTAATATAACTGCATTTGGACTTAACATTTAATAAAAAGCTGCTATCTTTGGTAATAGAGGTGCTTTTCCTCTGAGCTACAATCACGGCTTCTTATGTAATTTAACAAGTGTTATTTCTGCTTAGGAATCACAGCTGCAATTGATTCCAGTTTACTACATTTTATGTTGCCTCCATTTTGCACACTGAGTACATTATGTCAAATAAAATGGGAAGCTTAAAAACTGACACTAAATATATACATGTTCAGAAGTATCCCATGATTTTTCCCTATTTTGTGATCGTACTGTGGTATTTACCTAATTCTGAATTCTTACCTTAATTTGCAATGGTTGTTTTTAATTGGTCTAAAAGAAAGCAGTTATTTTTAGTGACTAACATCCACCATTGAGTCCAACAATGAATATTTTCTTTGTCAGACTTTTCATCTCATATGTCTCTGGTAAATACATTTCTACTAAACCAAATTTTCTTATATCATTTCCTCAACCCTTTCTAATTTATTTATTATTTTCTCTCTCAGCTCTAAAACTTGATTGCATTTTACTTGTGTATATATACAAAGATATCTGTTTGGAATACCCTGGCAGAAATTAATTCCTGCAGTCAGACTGAGATGTTAGTATCAAGGAATAAGTTACAGAAAAGTGAGAGCTTGTCTGGGTTAATATGTCTTCCTAAAGGACATGTTCAGTTATGTTTCTATGGTAGAACACTTTTTGAAAGCTCCTACAAGCTTATAAGGAAGATACTACACTATAGAAATTTCAAGCACTTGACTAACTCTGCAATTCATGGAACATTTGTCATTCAGAAAAAAATTATGTAGGGATTGAGGTACACTAATAATATTCTAAATGAGGTATGAACACTAAAAGAACAATGACATTAAGACTTGCAAAACTAAATGCTTTTAATTGCTTACTAAACAGCTTGAATACCAAAGTACATGAAATATACCAGGAGTTGAAACGTAAATATTCCTATATTCCACAGTAAGTAATTGAAAAAATAAGGAAAGAGAAAGAAGAGATGTGCAAAGGGTACCCAGGGATATAACTGAACAACAATGGCTTGAAGCTTCCTAAAACAGCCACAGGAAATTTAGGATAGAATAAAGACAATTCCATCACCAACAATTTTCATTCAAAGCATATACCTATTTTACTGTTATTGCTAAGGGAGGCTAGATTCTGCAAGCCTTTGATGATACTTTGAAAACAGTCTAATCACAAAATCTCAATTCATAAAAGGCACCCATCTTCCATCTTTTAAATAATAAACAGATAAAACAGATTTTCAAAATTATTGCTGTATTTATTACATGTATATTTCTGTTTATAGCCAAACAGAATTCATCTTCAGTACTACAACCACAGTAAATCCAAATTCTCACACTTATCTTTATTACTAAACGGACATAAAAATTTTATTGCTAATCTATTTCTGATACAGATCAGAAAATAAGAAATGAAATTAGTTGTCCAGGGATGTTACAAACTAAACCTTAAATTTCTCATTTGATCTTACCGTATGTGATTCTAATTCAGCAATTTTCTCAGGGATCTCAGAACCCAAATAATATATTCTAATCACATGGTCAGTGCTACCTGTTGTGATGAACATACCACCTGAAAGATTTAAAAAAATGCTATTAAGAACTTAAAAAAAACTGATTGCATTTCTAGTTGTCCAACACCTTGTATTATTAAACTGGCTTCAAAAGATATAAGCTTATCTTCCAAATGTTAAGCACATACTACTACTTCAGAGATAAAATAAAACAAAAACTACAGAAATATAATTTAAGTCTTTTACTATTGACCTCACAAAGTCGATGAATCATATATTACATTCAGGGTTATGGGTCATAAATAACAGAAGTCATACCATTTAAAACGAATTTGTTTTTGGTAAAACTATGTTCCAAAGTTATTCATATAATTCTTCATACTTTAAATTTCTTTACAATATCTACAGTGGTTGGGTTACAAAAGATCAGCTGTCTTTTGGATGTTGAAAAAGTTCCAGAGAGATAAATGGTGGTGATGATGGAGTCAAAACAATTTACATATACTTTTTTGTGTAGTAGCAGGGCTTTACTTCTGCCCAACATACCTTTCAAGTCCCCGTTTCAAGAAATTCATATTGTTGGTTTTAGAAGATTCTTAACAATATGAAAAGCAGTGCTTACCTACTACGGAAGTGTTTTTTACATAAAGCTACAACTGCTTGTTTTCTGTAAAGTGAGGATAGATTTTTTTAAATGCAATGAAGTGATGGTGGGCACTACATATTTTAATACTGGGTAAAAATTTGGGGGTGATGATGTGGTCATTTTTATTCCAAAAAATTTGAACTATAGAAAAATATATTAAATTATGAGTAAGAAAGAAATAATACATGCTAGAGCGCAAGGCTTCTGTGTAGTATAGCATATCGTTTAGATTTTTATACTTCCTTTAATCTTTAAGAATGTTTACTTTAATACACAAAGTAAAAATAGATGTTTAAGTAGAACATTTAATATTTTGGGTAGAAGGGCTGGGAAGGTGGCTCAGTGGTACAGCGCTTGCCTTGCATGCCTGAGGCCCTGGGTTAGATTCCTTAGCACCACATAAGCAAAAAGAAAAAAAGCCAGAAGTGGCGCTGTGGCTCCAGTGGTAGAGTGCTAGCCTTGAGCTGAAGGACAGCGCACAGGCCCAGAGTTCAGGCCCCACGACTGGACCCCAAAAAAAAAATATTTTGGGTAGAAGCAAGCACAATAGATTGTACACCGAAGTAGTTATAAATGAATTAATTAAAGTATATGGAAAACGCAAATAGCAGAATTCTTTGGAAAGACTAAATCACAGTCTAACAAAATGAATATTAGGGAATGGGTACTTGCAAGGGAGGGGATGAAGAGGAGAGGGGTAGAAGAATGGACAAGAAAAATGAGTAGAACGAAGGTGAGAATGAATTGTAAATGCCACAAACCTCAGAAAAATAAGGATAGGGATGGGTGAAAGGCGGTGAAGATGTTGAAGGGATCACACAGAATAAATGCATTGCATACACTCATAAATTGCTTTGTTAAATGACAAAAAATTCAATACATAACTAAAAATTAAGTGAAAAGATGGCTGATAATGTGGCTCAGTGGTGGAGTGTTTGCCTAGCGTGCACGAAGCCCTGGGATCGATTCCTCAGCACCATGTACACAGAAAAGGCTGGAAGTGGCACTGTGGCTCAAGTAGTAGAGTGCTAGCCTTGAGCTGAGTTCAAGTCCCAGGACTATAAAAAAAATGTGAAAGAAGGGTTAGGGTGGGAGGGGTGGATAAGAATGTTAAAAGGGGTGACATTGATCAAGAGGCGCTGATTTCATAATCTGCTCTGTTAAATAGCAACTCCTTGTATGCTACTTTACTTTAGTAAATTGAAAATATATATATTTTTGTAAAAAAGAAAAATAGAGGACTAGGAAGGTGGCTCAGTGGTAGCGTGCTTGCCTTGCATACATGAGGCCCTGGGTTCAATTCTTCAGCATCACATAAACTGAAAAAGCCGAAAGTGGTGCTGTGGCTCAAGTGGTAGAGCGCTAGCCCTGAGCTGAAGAACTGAGGGACAGTGCCCAGGCCCAGAGTTCAGGCCCCATGATGGGGAAAAAAAGAAAAAGAATGAGGCACCGGTGGCTCATGCCTGTAATCCTAGCTACTCCAGAGGGTGAGATCTGAGGATCGCAGTTCGAAGCTAGCTGGGGCAGAAACATCTATGAGAATCTTATCTCTAATTAATCACCAAAAAAGCTGGAAGTGGAGCTCTGGCTCAAGTGGTTGAGCACTAGCCTTGAGCAAAAGAACTCAGAGACAACACCAGGCACTGAGTTCAAGCCCAACAAAGAACAAAAAAACAAAAAGAAAGGAAAAGAAAAGAAGAAAAGAAATAACTGAGAAAATAATTTAACTCTGATACATACCAGAACTGAAGGAAGAACAAGATATCTGAACTCCAGGTCTGGATCTCTCAGTAAATTTTACTGGGCGATCTCTAAAGGGAAAAGTAAATGTTTCTATCAGGTTCCTCTCTCTTTTGCCCAGAAATTTTAACAAAATTTTGGATATTGTTCTATTTAGCATCAATATTACAGAAAAAAACTAAAAGGAGATAAACAAGTGTTATTGAAATTATTCAAAGTGAAAACTCATTAAGCCTTAATACAGGTATTATTCCAAAAGCTTTACAGATTACCACATTATTTACAATAAATTATACAATGTTCGAAGTCTACTTACTAAATAAAAAAAAGACAAATTAAACTTCATACCAACATTTTCTGTAATGATATTCTCTTCATTAAACATTCTAAGATCTCTATAAGTAGGTATGCATTCTGGTAATCGGGCAAATAATAAGCACAAATAAAAATAAACATGCCTGATTTTTCAAAAAGTAAAGTTCTTTTCAACTTACCTAAACTTCATGGTTTTTACATGCCATTGCCAGAAACAGATTGTTCCATCAGCACCAGTAGAAGTGAGGTATCTGGTTGTGCCTTTAGTTGATGGACAAAACTTTAAAGAAAAAAAATCAGATTCAAATATACAGTTTTTATGTTCAAACTATCTTTAAACGCAGCATGTATTCAAATTATAGTCAACTGAGTAAATATAAACTACATAAGAAGTTTGATTTCAAGCGATTGGTTTAGTAACTTAACCTTCTTTCATGAACATGTCACAAAATTTTAAAATACCACCAGCCACTGGTGGCTCGAGTCTGCAATACTAGCTATTCAGGAGGCTGAGATCTGAGGATCATGGACCAAAGTCAACCCAAGTAGGACCTTCCGGCCATGAGACTCTTATTCCCTTAATCATAGAAAAGTCTGAAGTGCAGTTGTGACTCTAGGAGACCACTAGTCTTGAACAAAAGTTGCTCACAGAGAGCAGCCAGGCCCACAGTTCAAGCCTCAAAGACTGGCAAAAAAAAATTTAAATTAAAATACCAAAAATATTTTAAAAAATTGAATTAAAAAATAGTAAATTTTGGCCTGGGAAGATGGCTCAGTGGTAGAGTGCTTGCCTTATACATGCACACATAAGACCCTGGAATCCATTCCTCAGCACTACATAAGTAGAAAAAGCCGGAAGTGGCACTGTGGCTCAAGTGGTAGAGTGCTAGCCTTGAGCTAAAGAGCTGAGGGACAGTGCCCAGGCACAGAATTCAAGTCCCATGACCAAGAAAAAAAATTAACCCATTTTTATGTTTTCATGAATAAAACAAACCCAATGTTCACATAATTGTGGAAAAGGCTAAGAAAATATGCTTGAATTATCATAACCAGCATCTAAGCATCTGACTTTCAGTATTTTATATGTTCTCAAAAGAAATTCATGGCTGGGAATGTGGCTTAGTGGTAGAGTGCTTGCCTAGCATACATGAAACCCTGGGTTTGATTCCTCATTTCTACATAAACAGACAAGGCTGGAAGTGATACTGTGGCCCAAGTGGTAGAGTGCTAGCCTCGAGCAAAAGAAGCTCAGGGACAGCACCCAGGCCCAAAGATCAGGCCCCACGACCGGACCCAAAAAAAAAAATTTACAAAGTATTAAATAAAAACATAACGAAAGCAACTAAAAATCCCTTTATTCAGCAATGATCACAATGTGTCATCCACATTTTGTTAAAAGCATGAAATGATACAAACTGGAAGGATAGTATACCATGAACTAACCAACAGTTATTAAACTAGTAACAAAGTGCATAAGCTACCAAAGGGTAATCATTACTATAGACAACAAATAGGGACATACAAAGTACAGTTTTAAGTGGGAGGTCAGACAGAGAATATTTTCTTAGTGGTAGAGTGCTTGCCTAGCATACATGAAGCCCTGGGTTCGATTCCTCTGTACCACATAAATAGAAAAAGACAAAAGTGGTGCTGTGGCTCAAGTAGTAGAGTGCTCAGGGACAGTGCCCAGGTCCTGAGTTCAAGCCCAGGACCAAGAAAAAAAAAGTTATATGAAGAATATTTTCTTAAAGGCGGCATCTGCACAAAGCACTTTGAAAAATAGGGAAACTCGGAGAAAGTAAAGGGTAATATTGTCCAAAACATAAATGGACTCATTACTTTATTTATGAAATAACCTCTCTTTTCAACAGCTTGATAACAATAAAATTATGTTAAAACAAAAGACAAAAAGCGGGCTGGGAAGTTGGCTCAGTGGTAGAGTGCTTGCCTTGCATGCCTGAGGCCCTGGGTTCGATTCCTCAGCACCACATAAGCAAAAAGAAAAAAGCCGGAAATGGCACTGTGGCTCAAGTGATAGAGCACTAGCCTTGAGCTGAAGAGCTGAGGGACAGCGCTCAGGCCCAGAGTTCAGGCCCCATGACTGGAACCAAAAAAAAAAAAAAGAAAAAAAGCAAAAGAAGGGTAAGCCAGGTGCAAGTGGCTTATGCCTGTAATCCTAACTATTCAGGAGGTTTAAGATCAGAAGATCATAGTTCAGAGCCAGCCATGGTAAGAAAGCCCATGAGACTCTTATCTCCAATCAATCATAGAAAAAGCCCCAAATGGTGCTGTGGCTCAAGTAATAAGTATAACAGGCCTACAGTTCGTTCCA